AGCCGCCGTTGAAGGTGGATATAGGAGAGGACGTCAGCCTAAAAACTGGTTGGACAATGTCAGACGATGGACAAGTATGACTATATAAGAATTGCTGATGGCTGCCTTTGATAGACCGTTGTGGAGGAGATTGAGTTTAGCTTGTGCATTCGGATTCACCCCCACCCCTATGATTACAAAAATCAAGGGATGATGAGAAGGATGATGACCGAAGCCTAGTGTGTCATTTACTCGGTATCTATACTGGTTTCACAACAATTTAGGAGAGGACGTCAACCTAAAAACTGGTTGAACAATGTCAAACAATTGACAGGTATGACTGTATCAGAATTGCTGATGGCTGCCGTTGATTAGACCGTTGTGGAAAAGGGTGTGGCTTCTGCATTCGGATCCGCCCTACGATTACAAAAGGCAAAGGTGTGGATGATGATGATGATGATGATAATATAATTACTCCAGGTAAGTTAACATCAAATTACTGGGTTCTTTTTGGACGAACGTTGTACCTACTAGTGCTGTATCTTTCGTGTAGGTTTGTTTCTTTATATGTTTATCAACTCCGGTAGATAAGACCTTACACGACCATCTGCCATCATTTTTCTCTTCCTTCACGCGGGTTTTATTTTTAGTCTAATTAGTCGGAAGCAGTCTCTCTTCATTGCATTCAATTAGTAAACTCTCCAAGTTGAGTAATCCTGAGAACATAACACAGTTGGTCTGCGGTTTTATACTTCAAGCAATGAAACAGACACTGAGGGGTACTCTTCTTATACACCTATCATGTCATGTATAAATGGTCACTAGACGCATTGAAAAAAATGGCTTCTTGATGTGAGAAAATCAAGGTTACATGTCTGGAATAATTGGCAAAGAAAGCATCAAGACAAATCGAAAAACTGTTTTTACAGACATTTAAAAGACCTTTTCCTCTCTCTATATAAAACTGTATGTCTGTCTGTGTGTATGTCTGTCTGTGTATGTGTATGCTATTTACGTACCCACATTTCTTGATAGATTTTGACGAAATTGTACACACGGGTTGCAAAAGCTATTAATATTAGTCAATACCAATTTTTCGATCTTCAACTCCACCGGGTTTGGCGGAAAAATCGATAAAATTAATTGTGGGTACGACTTTTTGCAAAAATCGAAGCATAGTTTCATGCGAACAAAATTTTTACTGGATGAGCTGATGTTCTTTGCGCTTAATGTAAAACATCAGCTCATGTTATGAGGTTTAGGTAGAGTGCTTGATAGTTTTTCTGCGACACTGGCTTCACACAAAAAATTGCAAAAAACTGTGGAAAAATTGGGTTTTCGTACTACTTAAAATAAAACTTGAATAACTTCCTCATTTCTTATCCGATTTTCTTCAAACATATCGCAAAAAATTTGCCATTATGCAAGAAATAAGATAATGTGGTTAAATCCTTACTCGCTTCCCCGTGTATAACAAAAAAACTGTTCAAAAAGTCCGTTTTTCGGACATAACTGCCTGGTTTTTCATCCGATGCTTTCCAAATTTTCTACATAAATTACGTCTGACGCGAATGTTTCCTTGACATTATTTCAGTTAAGTGGACGAAATCTGCGACAAACTAGGCCCCAAATCTGCTTTTATCATTTAGCCAATAGTTTCTTCCTATGATTCCATCCTAAATTGGCATTCGAACAACCTTTGACGCAAATATTGTGGGTGGAGTATCTTAGTATACCAACAGATGATGCATGCAATCAGGGACGCAGGCAGACATTTCTAGACAAGAGGTGAGGGTATACAGAGTGGCTGCGGATATCCAGTGGGTGAGGTTATACAACTGCAGCCATGTACACACGAGCAACGCCGGGTATCTTGGCTAGATTTTTATAATTTCGCCTTAAGCTAAATTTTATTTGTGTGCCCACCGGCATTAGATCAGTAGAAAAAAAGCTTAACTCATTTTATATATGTTATTAACAAATTGCCTTTGCAACATAAGTTTTTATTTAAGTTGCATAAAGATTTTAGAAGAATATTTTAATAAATATTTTACTTGTTTTATTTATTTTCAATTCAAATTTTTAAAATGGCCAAATGTAAGTAATTTTTCAGATACTAAAATTCTTTCTAATTCATTGCGTTTTTATCGAATGAATTTATATATGTCTTGGCATAATTCATCCGTAAGTTAGCAGAAAATATCATTTAAAGGATAAATGTAATCTTGGCTTAAAAATTACCTTACTTTTTCAAGCGTTGATGCAGAAAATATTTTTTAAGAAATATTATATTTTTTGTAGAATTCTATAATTTTATGTTCGGCAACCTTAGTTATGATCTTATTTTCTGCAGCGTTCGTAGAAGCCGTTGGTGTCATCTAACATTTCAAATTGCTACAAATTAATCGAGTGAAGCCGAATAAAAAAAAATACGGAATTAGCTAAATAATTGAAACTAATCTGTTTAAATAAATATTCTTAAAACTCTACCAAATTATTTAAACATGTGGAAAAATAGTAGGTTTGCTGAATGAATTATTATTATTATTATTATTATTATTATTATTATTATTATTTTCTTTGATTTCTGGCGTTTACACATTTCTTTCCGGGTCCCGCCCATGGACCTAAGGTTAGAAATGGCATCATGACACTTTCCACTGACAAAAAAAAAAAAAAAAAAAAATTACATAGATAAAGCCCTTCGTAAAGTGTGAGCTGTACTTGTCAGAACAATGTTTTGTATCTCCTTGAGGCATGGACTTCCAGGAATCCCTTCAATTAGTCTACTGCAATCTTTTCCAACCAGTCCTAGGGCTCCAACTAAAACAGGGATTGTTGATGTTCCCATTTGCCACATTTTCGAGATTTCTATTTCAAGGTCCTTGTATTATTATTATTATTATTATTATTATTATTATTATTATTATTACCAGTGTACACGTGCTGTCCAAAATGATAAGTTAATGTTATAAAGTTTTAATAGTGAGATGCAATGGAACAAAAGTTTTAAAACAATATACTGAGATTTAACAAAGCGGCGATAAAGAATTCTCAACTAAAACAGAGACGAATGAAGCGTTTAATTAAACAGTGCCCATTATATATTTTTTAGACGTTCAACGGTATCTATGATTCATTGATTACTCCCTGTATTATATAATCGCTTTTTGCTTAATATGTTTTCATTTTAAAAATGTTATGCGTTTAATATAACAGGGAATTTGACATATCCCTCGGAAGAAAAAGATTAGCAACAGAGTAACAAAGACAAAACCGGTTTCATGACCAAATTCAAGACGATCACTTAATAAACAAAGGTATCTGTGTGGCCCACATGAAAGGCTTGAACAATTAATACTGCAAGTAAAGAAATTGATTAATTAAACGGTTCATGTTGCTCGGGAATTAGTTTTGTCTAAATGCAAATAAATATTTTGTTAGTATAGATTATGAAAACGTCCAACGGAAGTAATCACTCATAAATTTATTAACTTAAGTTGATTTTCCCACTAAAGAAGGGAAAGGAAATTGCTGTGTCGGAAACCTACCCCCCCCCTTGAAGATGAACTTGTCTGCGTCTGTGAACAAAGACTTTAAATAGTGGCATGTCAGTTGACATGGGGAAGATAAATAGACAGAGAAGTTCTTAGCTGACCTAGTTATTGACTACTCAGGCGATTTCTGTACCTTTTTACCAACCTATTAAAACCCTTTTTATTGTTGCGTGTTATTTGGCGTTTGTCTCTACTAACCCCAAATCAACATCATAACAGAAATATATAAATAAATTCATAGGAAATATACAGAGTTCTGTTCTAAAAATTAAAAAAAGCGTAAAGACATAAAACAATTATCAGCTTTCTCCAACCCACATTGTTTTTCATTGATTGATTTCTTTTTTACGGATTTGTGGTTTATTTAAAGTAGAAACGTCGTTTGTATTGGAAGAATTTTTTTACAGTGATTAATGTATTAATATTTTTTTTATTGATAACAGTGACTTTTTTCGGATAGAAGATCGACTACTTAAAACTGTGAGGAGACAAATTCATAGCTTCGTAAAGTATTTTACGCGTAGGTAAATGTAACAAGAGGAACGGGAATTTGAACGCTGCGCAACAATTTCATTTGCTGCTATCCATTACGTCACTCTTACATCCCAAGTATTGAAGAATGTTGAGTAAATGTGATGTGTAAGGGTCAGAGAAAGGTCGGTCGAAAACGTCTGAAATTCTGTCGACAAGCTAAAAGTGTGTATGTAGGTGCTTTAAAGGAATGCTGATTTACCATTTTAGTTCCATAGAGAAACTTCAGAAGCTATAAAGAGAGACTGCAATAAAGAAAGAGTATAGGGAAGAGGAAAGAAAGTGTATAGGGAGGAGGAAAGAAAGAAAGAAAAGGAGGAAGCAAAGAAAGGAAAACAAAAGCGGAAAGAAAAGAAAAATAAGAAAAGGAATTGAAAATTGAAAAACAAAATATTCATTAAACAAGTAAATAATCAAATCGAAGGAAGAAAATTCGATGGAAATCTTTAGCCTAAAGAAGGAAAAAGAGGATAGAAATCTTTCGTGTAAAGATGAAAAGAGATAGATAGATAGATAGATAGATAGATAGATAGATAGATAGATAGATATAAAGAAAGAACCATTTAAGTAGAAAAAGCATTATTTCGTAACTTAACTAGCTCGATAGCTATGAATAATTTTCGATAGATAGACGAAGAGACTGCGATAGATAGATAGATAGATAGATAAGTAGATAGTTAGATACATCAAGAGACAGAGATAGATAGATAGACGAAGAGACTGCGATAGATAGATAGATAGATAGATAGACTAAGAGACCGTGATAGATAGATAGATAGATAGATAGATAGATGAAGAGACTGCGATAAATCGATAGATAGATAGATAGATAGATCAAGAGACAGAGATAGATAGATAGATAGATAGATAGATAGATACATAGATAGATAGATGAAGAAACTGCGACAGATAGATAGATAGATAGATAGATAGATAGATAGATAGATAGATGAAGAGACTGAGATAGATAGATAGATAGATAGATAGATAGATAGATAGATAGATAGATAGATAGGTAGGTAGATAGGTAGATAGATCAAGAGACAGAGATAGATAGATAGATAGATAGATAGATAGATAGATAGATAGATAGACTAAGAGACTGCGACAGATAGATAGATAGATAGATAGATAGATAGATAGATAGATAGATAGATAGACGAAGAGACTGCGATAAATCGATAGATAGATAAATAGGTAGGCAGATAGATATAGATAGATAGATCAAGAGACATAGATAGATAGATAGATAGATAGATAGATAGATGAAGAGACTGAGATAGATAGATAGATAGATAGATAGGTAGATAGGTAGATAGATAGATCAAGAGACAGAGATAGATAGATAGATAGATAGATAGATAGATAGATAGATAGACGAAGAGACTGCGACAGATAGATAGATAGATAGATAGATAGACTAAGAGACCGTGATAGATAGATAGATAGATAGATAGATAGATAGATAGACGAAGAGACTGCGATAAATCGATAGATAGATAAATAGGTAGGCAGATAGATATAGATAGATAGATCAAGAGACAGAGATAGATAGATAGATAGATAGATAGATAGATAGACGAAGAGACTGCGATAAATCGATAGATAGATAAATAGGTAGGCAGATAGATATAGATATATATATATATATATAGATAGATAGATAGATAGATGCAGAGAAAGAAAAGGCAAAATATCTAAATAGTAGGAAATAAAGAAAGAAAGCTGGATAGATACAAAAAGACTTTAGATCTTTAGACAGAAAGAAAACGATAGAAACAGATTTAGACAGGCAGATATAAAGAAAGAAAATATCTAAACAGTAAAAATGAAATGAAAAAGTAAGCTGGAGACGAATTTAGAACGATATATAGATATACACAACAAAAGAATCCACCTCTCAAATTCTGTATTAGATAGATAGATAGATAGATAGATAGATAGATAGATAGATAAACTGATTACATAGATAGATAGATAGATAGATAGATAGATAGATAGATAGATAGATAGATAGATAGATAATAAACTGATTACATACATAGATAGATAGATAGATAGATAAACTGATTACATATATATATATATAGATAGATAGATAGATAGATAGATAGATAGATAGATAGATAGATAGATAGATACAAACAGATTTAGATCGATATAAACATATTTTAAAAGAACGAAAGAAACTGAATTTCGATTTCAAGGTCCTTGTATTTTCAAAGATACATTGCAGCCTGCAGGTACTGCCATATCAATAAGGAGGCAATTTTGTTTGCTTATGGTCTCTAATAACAATGTCTGGGCGATTACCTTTGATTGTTCTGTCTCTGTGTATTGTGTAGTCCCATAAAATTGTAACAGGTCCTATCTCCGTTACCGGGTCTGGTTGGTGTTCATATATTATTGTTGTTGTTGTTGTTATTTCTTTGAATTCTGTTGTATACACATTTCATTTCGGGTACCAACCAAAGACGTAAGGTCAGAAATGGTTTCAGAACATTTCCCACTGATTATGTTTGAACAAAAAAACAGCAAACCCCCCTAAGATTGCACACATTCTACATAGATAAATCTCTTCGTAATGTGTGAGCTGTAATTGTGAGTACAATACTTTGTATTTCATGGCGAATATGTAATATCTTCAGTGATCTATTATGCAATTTCATTGGGGTTATTAATTAGCTTTGATGAAGTTTGCGCAAGAATTTTATGGATTAATGACAGATGACAGAGCCAAAATTTGGGTACCATGTCATTTCTTTGAGATTTCTATTTTGGGGATTTTGTTAGAGCTTACCTAACATTATTCCTGTTTATATTTTTTCCGTTCTTGCTCAGGATTATCCTTCATTCTTTCTTGTTCTCTTTTATATGGGGATTTTATTTGATTTAAGTTGCTTCAAAACTTTTACACGTCTTCAATAGATAATGGCTTTCTGGCGTCTATAACTGCTTTTCCAATTTCCATGTAAAAGTTCTTGAGATCCGTTTGAAATATCTTTTTTTTGTCGATAGAACCTACAACGCTTTTTAAATCGTCTAGTTCTCTGTGCCTTTAATTGAAGTTTCTGTTTCAGTATTTCCTTCATTGGTGGAATTACATTTAATCCTTTAATCTTATATTTCCGCTTCATCTTCATGCTGTTCCGTTTTGAAACGTTTGAATTTTTAAAAATCTCACCTGGCATAGATAATTCACATTTATTATTATTATTATTATTATTATTATTATTATTATTATTATTATTATTATTATTATTATTTCCGTGGATGTCTTTTGTATACACATTTCCTTCCAGATCCGAAAGACATTTTCTGGGCTTCATGATATTTTACAGTGTAAAAAAAAAACACACACACATTTTACATAAATAAATCTCTTCGTCATGTGTGAGCTGTAATTGTGGGTACAAATTGTTTGTAGATCTTTGAGGTATGCGGAAACCCCGACGTGGCGTAATGGTTAGAAAGCTTGTCTTGCTAGATCAATTACGACTGGGTAGTGAGTTCGATCCTCACTGGGTACCCCCTACTTTCGGCCTTATGCCACATCTAAGCCGCACTTAGAAAATCACTATCTTCAAGGCATGTGCTACTCGGATGTAGTTTATCATCTTACCAAGGACTCGGATATCGTTTATTTTCATACCCAGAACGGGAGATCCGTTTGGAACATCTTATTTGGTTTATAGAACCTACAACTCTTTTCATATCGTCTTGTTCTCTGTGTCTTTAATTGCAGTTTCCATTAAAGTTTTTCCTTGATTGGTGGAATTTCATTTATTGCTTTAATTTTATATTTCTGCTTCGTCTTCTTCCTTTTCCGTGTTGAAAGATTTGAATTTCTTGAAATCTCATCTCAACACACATTTGATTTCCTTAATTTTTATTGGATTTTCATTTACTGCTTCAATTTTAATTTTATCATCATCATCATCATCATCATCATCATCATCATCATCATTTTTGTTCTTGGGGCATGGTGTCAACGAGACGCCCCACGACTCAAGAACGTTTCGGAAAATCCTCGCAGAATAAATATTGGTAGTTTTCTGTAGGTTTATATGTTTCGTCTCGGTTCCAATTTTCATTAGACCTTCTTTCAGATTTCTAATTGAGGTTTCAAATGCATTTATTACTACAGGAATTAGTTCTACATTCATGTCCCAGAGCTCCAACCCACTAACCAGATCCTAGTATTTTTGTGTCGTTTTCAGTTTCAGTGGAGCCCGCTCTTGTATCATATGGAAAAGCAAAGCGAATAATTAAATACATGCTTCTGTTCTTTTCTGTAATAATAAGGGTCTTCGAGATTCAAAGACATGAACTCTCTGGAAAGAGAAATTCCATAATGGTATGTCACTTTTATTTTCTACTACTGCCTCTGGCTGATATTAATAACATTTCTCCTTCACACTGAAGCCAAAGTTAAGGCAACTCTCGGTTATCTATATTTGTCGGGCTCATTAGAATCTTTAACAAAATATACTTTTGGTATAGTTTAGATGCTAAAATGATTCATTAGTTTATTTTAGATGCTAAAATGATTGTACTAGTTTATTCTACTAAACAGTTGTGTATTGAGTGATGCAGTTTTTTGTGTATAATATGTTACTAGTGAGCCAATCCAAATGACTTGACTCACTTTATAGTCCACCAATAAAAGGTTAACCAATCAGAAGACGTAGAACATTCAATCCGTCGTGTATAAAGGCGGCCATTTTGTTTACTCTACCCGAATGTCCAGTCCAGCTTGTCAGGCGAAAGAACAGAAGGACAAACTACTGAACTACGCTCTGCTACTTTTACCAAAATATCCACTGCTAACCTGAACAACGCTTTCCTACTGTCTTCGAAATATTCACTGCTAACCTCTGGATTCTATACTCGAAGACGACCGTCATCATGAACAACATTGAGAGCCATCCATCCCAGAAGATTATGATGGAGCTATGAGCGATGCAAGCCTGGACAGAAGCTATGGAAATCTAGGACTGCCCACAAAAAAAAAAAAAAAAAAAAAACAGATTTCGACATTAAATAACCAACTAAGTGTCGCTATTTCGTAAAATCTAATTTGATTTATAGTTCCACCTTATCCTCACTGATCATAAAGTATTTTCCTCGCATAGAGTTTTGTTTTTTTTCTTTCATTCTATCCCCAAGAAGACAAAGAGTGCAGGCGCTCTCGGCCAAATGCGTCGTTTATAAATTTTCCACTTTGTCTCATCTTTATTACTACACATCTTACAAACACAGATTATTTCTTGTATAAACCCGATAAATGCTTAATCCTAATCTCACTTATAAATCCGACCATTATTTGATAGAGTCAGGAATAATCACAAAAACTATAGAGTAAAGTATAAACCCCACCAATGTTTAGCTGTAGATGCAAGAAAAGTCTAAACAAATATTTATTTATATATCATGCCTTTAATTTCCCTGAGGAACATAGAGCCACAAGATAAGGTTGCGGTTTCTACAGAATAGGCTGTTAGACTTCTGAACAGAATTTACATTATTCGGACTATTGTCCTCATCATCTTTGTTGCCATATTTATTACAACGTTTCCGCCGTTGTACGCTCCGGCCTTCTTCAGGTGGTTGGTATGTCGAACTGAACCCTTTATTTCGCTCACTGGGGTTGACTTTTCTAGTTCCACGTGCCATGTTTAATGGATGTCAGTTATCAGTTATCTCCCTCTGAAAGTTCTCCACTGCCTTAACCAGGTATTGAACTCACACTCTTTGGGTCTGTTACTGGATCTAACCAACGCTTTTATCCACTGTGCCATAAATATAGACAGATACTTTGTGAACAGGTTTTGAATTCAGAGTTGTCCTTCAAGTCTGGGTGGGTGGAGAAGAAAATGATTTCCTCCCCTCTCTCTCCTCCCGTCCCTGTCTCTTTCCTCCTCTTCCTTTTT